GAAAGCTTTTAAGACCCCAGACGCCACTCACCAAAGTAGGATGCAGAACGTTTTCTTAATAACCTTTGTTATGCCAGTTGACCTAGATGTCCCCTGAAACCACGGTCCCCAGACCCCTACCCCTGCAACTCTGTCCCTCAAAGTGTTTGATTGTATTCAGGAAACTTCTTAGCTTTGGTTTAGTCCAATTGTGCTGACTTCCTCAGGGGCATCTTCTTAAAATTTTTTTTAATTTTTTCCACTTTAATAGGTGAAAACTTGTATTTCATTTTAACTTGTACTTCTTTGATTATTAGGAGATACAGTTATTGCATTATGTTTTTCTGCTAATAAAAGTAATATATGTACCTTATTCCAAAAGCTTCAAAGATAAAGCAATTATAAAGAAGACAATGAAAGTCACCTATAATCTCATCTGCCTAATCTCCAGATAACTCTTGCTAGTATTTTTGTCTGATGATCATTTGAAACATTTATTGACCATTTGTGCTGTGTGTGCCTATGTGTGAATTATCTATTCATGACCTCTATCCATCTTTCTCTTGGGGAATTATTGTTTTTTTAATTGAATTCTAAGGCCTATTAAAGAGTATTAACCCATTGTCTGTCATATTTATTATAAATATTTATCCTAGTTTTTTACTTTTAAAATATTCTCTTTTGATGTCCAAAAGTTTTTATTGTGTACATAGTCAATCTATCAAATTTTCTTTGAATTCTTTATCCACTGCTTTTATGCTTAGAATTTTTTTTCATATTTGAGTTCTAGTAAACAGACATACACATCTTTTATAGTATTTTCACGATTTAATTTTTTTCATTTAACTCTTTAATCCACTAAAATGACTGTAGAGTTTAATTGCCAATAGGACTTAAAATAGGAATTTCAGTCACTAATTTCCCTGTCTATCTTCCCTATTACCCTGGAAGTTCCTTGAGGCCAGAAACATTTCTTGTTTAGCTTTGTGTGTCATGGAATCTGGCACATTGTTTTGTTATGTCATTGAACAAGGACTATAACTATTAAAATAATTGGACTATCCATATGATACACTTACCTTTTAAAGTTCTTTGAGTCTAAGACCTGATTTTGTAATTTCTTTTTGGTTTTTGCCTGCTTTAGTCCAAAGTCATCACTATTCACTGTGAATTTGTTCACAAAGCCACCATCATCTCCCAAGAGGATGTCATCTCGGCAGAGTTGCTCCGGCAGGGGCACAACACAAACACAGAGGAGGCAGTGATCCATGGGCTTTATGATAAAATAGTTTTCCTGGAAAAGAATATTTTTAATGAATTATTACCTTGCTTTATTTAATAAATATTGTCCCTATTATTTGATAAAGGTTTTACTTTTCTTTAGTTTCTCTTTTCAGATACTCCCATAGTAATAAAGGAACTTGAAAAAAAATTAATCAAATAAAATTTAATGGACTCTCACTGTGAGCCCAACGTTAGGCTTTTAGGTGCTTTGTGGAGAAAGGGGTGGGGCACCTAAATATGAGAACGGCTTCCTGCTCTCAAAGATCTTACAGTCTACTTGGAGGCAAAATTAATGTCTGAGAAACAGTACAATTTAGTAGCTTATTTAGGCCTGGTCTACCCTATCTCCGTGGTATAATGGTTAAGCACTGAACTACTAGCTGAAAGGCTGGTCAGAGACACCTTGGAAGACAGGCCTGGAGATCGGCTTCTGAAAGGTCACAGCCTTGAAAACCCCGGAAGAAAGGAAGGAAGGAAAGAAGAAAGCAAGCAAGGCAGTAGAGGTATATTTCTAGTTAAATTTGAAGATGAGAGGACTGGAATTTGACAGACGACAAGCCTAATGGACAGTTTTCTCAGGAAAATAGGGACAAAGCCATCTGCTGAGAGTAATGAAGGTGTGGAACACTTGAGAGGAATGGGAAAGCAAGCTGGAAAGGACAAGACAGAGGCTGATGGAAGCCACTGAGAGCTCAGCTGAGTTTGCAGATTCTGTGTTTGCAGAACCTGATGCCAAATTGTGTGGTTTTGTGTTTTTCTCTAGCAGTGTTTAGCCACTGTAAAGAAGCAGAGAAGGGCTATAGCCTCTATCTAGGACAAGAGTTTGGAAGTATAGAGACTTAAGGTAAGGGAGGGTGCAGATGACCTCAACCCAGATGATCCATTCAGTAGGGTACATGCGTGAGAAAAAGAGAAGAGTGAGGGGGACTGACAATAGGAAGAAGATGGCTTCAAGGAACTAGAGACTCCTATGGGATTGAAAAGCAAGAGTGAAAGCAAGAGAGAGCTGGAGGAAGACAGGTTTCAATCAAAGTACAGGACGCTGGAGTTCAGGGTTTCAGAAGTTAATAAAGCTTTGGCTATAACCATATGATGTAGTAAAACACCGCAAAATAAAGTACACTAAGCAACAAACTGCCTTCTTTATAATCATCCTGGCAATCACTAGTTGTTTACAACATTGTGGATAAACAGAATAAGAAGTTCAGTTTTTCACTGAGGCTAGGCACAAGTGGAACAGAGGAACATTAAATTATTCCTTAATCCCCCACCATTTAGTGATCTCACCTCTCCCTGAGCCCCTATTGCACTTCCTGTTTTTCACTGCATAATTTATTGTCCTATTTTATTATATATTGTCTTAGGTATCTCGTGCCGCTATAACAGAAATACCACAAGTAGGTGGCTTTAGCAAACAGAAATTTATTTTCTCACAGTTTACGAGGCTGGAAGTCTGAATTCAGGGCGCCAACTCTAGGGGAAGGCATTGTCTCTCTCTTGGCTCTGGAGGAAGGTTCTTGTCTCTTTGAGCTTCTGCTCCGGGGCGATCTTCATGTGGCTTGGCATCTCTTCTCCTCCATCTCTGCTCCCTCAGTTACTTGTTGACTCAAGATTTACCCTGCATTAATCCTACCTCATTAACATAACAAAGACAACCCATTTCCAAATGGAATTATAACCACAGGCATAGAGGTTAGTATTTACAACAAATTTGGGGAGGACACAACTCAATCCATGACATTCCACCCTGTGGCCCCCCCAAAACTCATATTCTTGCCACAACATGTAAAACACATTCACCACATCACATTATCCCAATAATCTTAAATCAACTCCGAGTCCAAAATCTCATCTTCTGAGTTATCTAAATCAAATATGGGTGAGACTTTAGGTATATTCCATCCTGGAGCAAAATTCATCTTGATCTATAAACCTGTGAAATCTACACTACAAGCTAAACCTTTCCATTACAAATGTGAGAAATTGGAGGGAAAGAAGGGATCACAGGCACCAAGCAAGTCTAAAACACAGCAAAATAATTTATATTAGTTCTCAAGGCTTGAAAATAATCCTCTATTTCCTGAGACCATCTAGGCAATGGCCCTGCCCTCCAGAATCTGGGTGTGAGCCATGTTCTCTGGATTCTGGGTAGAGGCTCCTGGGCCCTGGACTTCAGCTCCGCCTTCCAGGCCCACTGGGACAGCAATCCTGCTCCCTTGGCTTTGGGTGGTCCCATTCTCCTCGTCCATCTGAGTGGCAACCCCACACACTTGGCCCCGGCAGACCCCATTCTTCTGTCCCTTGGGTATGGCAGCCCTGCCCCCTTAGCTTTGGGCAGCAGCCCCATTCCCCTAGCACACCTTAATGGCAGCCCCATACTCTGGAACCGAGTTGGCAAAGATCCAACTCTTTGAAATCTAGGAGGCTGTGGCGCCACCTTTTGAGATCTAGGAGACGGTGGCCTCACCCTTTGAAACCGAAAAGGCCCTGCTTCCAGTGCTCCTTCCAACAGTTTTGCTGATCTCTGAGCTGCTCCAGGGATGGCCCTCTTCTTTTCTTGGAGGACAACAGATGTAGCTCCTCTGGCCTGTATCCTGCCTGTAGAATTCCAAGAGGCAGACAGCATTCTTTCCTCCCGTTCCTTCTCTGTCCCCTTCATTTCAAACTGATGGGTTTTCTGCTGTGGTAGTTGATTAGATCCTTCAGTCACAGGCTTAATATCTTTAAGAAAAGATTGTGTAGCCACATCCTTGGTGAACATTCTAGGACATGTATCCTTAGTTTGTACAACAGAATTTTCCAAATCTTTAAGTTCTGTTTTCATTTTTCATAGTTCATTTTAAAGTTCATCTCTTTCTTCTCACGTTTTACTATAAGCAGCACGAAAAACCACGTGGTTCCTTTCTTTAAGATCTTGCTTAGAAATCTCATCAGCCAGTATCCAAGTTCATCGCTTGCAAGTTCTACCTTCCATCAAACTTTTGAATATAATTCAGACAAGTTCTTTGCCACTGCATAAAAAGCATCACCCTTTTTCCATTGTCCAATCACATGTTAATCATTTTCTTTTAAAGCCTCACCAGAAGCAAATTTAACGTCCACATTTCTAGCAACATTCTGTTGCTGGTGCCATACGTATTCTCTAAGATGATAGAGATTTTCTCTATAGCTCTCCTGACTTCCTTCTGAGCCTTCCCCAGAATTGCCTTTGACGTCCATAATTCTACCAACAGTCTCTTCAAGGCAATCTAGGCTTTTACTATTAGGCACCTTAAAACTCTTTCAGGCCCCACCCATTACCCAATTCCAAAACCGCTTCCACATTTTAGGTTTCTGTTAGAACAGCAACTGCACTACTCAGTACCAAATTCTGTCTTTGTCATCCAGGGCTTCTGTAACAGAAATATCACAAATGGATGGCTTTACAAGCAGAAATTTATTTTCTCACAGGAGGTTAGAAGTCCAAATTCAGAGCACTGGCTCTAGGGGAAGGCTTTCTCTCTCTGTTGGCTCTAGTGGAAGATCCTTGTCTCTTCAGCTTCTCCTCCCTGGTTCCTTGGAGATCTCCATGTGTCTTGGCATCAAACTTACCCCGTCTCTCCTTGCCTGCTTGTTCGTTTTAATCTCTTTTATATCTCAGAAGAGATTGACATAAAACACATTCTACACTAATCCTGTCTCGTTAACATAACAAACACAACCCATTCCCAAATGGGATTATAACCACAGTCATAGAGGTTAGGATTTACAACACATATTTTGGGGGGGACACAATTCGATCCATAACATATATTATGTTTACTCATGAGATCCTTCAAAGCTGAGTTTTGAGTCTAGTTTAATGCTGCCGATTAAATGCTTGCTACATGTCTGCAGATGCTCAATAAATACTATGGATTAATTCAGTGGTAACATCTCAGCCGTAGAAGAGATTAACATTAACACCCATCCCATTAAATTTTTTTTTGCCGGAATTAAGGCACTTGATTTTAGCAATTTTCTTACCAAATAAAGCTGGACTAGAGAGAAATACTTTGAACTTGATAACATGAGCATAGCCGGAAATATAATACTTGCAATCAGAGAAGGGTATAAAAGAGGAAAGAAATTAGCCTCTTTCCCTTAAAAACAAAACAACCAATTAAACATACAGTAAATCGAAAAAAACATTCTTTTTTAATTAGACTCACAAGATAGTAATGCTGAACTTGATCTAACAGTTTATTTAGTTAAATCCCCTAAATTTACATTTGAGGAAACTGATGTTCATAAGAAAAAGTGAATCGCTCAAATCCTACCAGTTTTGAAAAGAAAATCTTGTTTCTTTGAATATTTCTCTTGGCACAGTACCTGGCTGCTCCCTTGAGCTTTATAATCCCAGACAATAATGGTCCTTTCTGTAGTGGCAACAATTCGTTTCAGTTGTGAGAGGTAGTCGCATCCAGTAATCCAGGAGGTATCCTGACAGAAAAGCATAGAATTAGTCTGTGGTGGGTGGTGTGATGGGTGACTATGTAATGTGTTTCATGCTATCACATGGTGATGGTTACTGAAGAGTAGGTTGTTTACATTAAAAACCCATTTTGCTACTTTATACAGAGGAGCCTCACAATGCATTCCCTTTGATGTCTTGAGGAGAAGCAGTCATTTTTCCCCTTTCACTCTCACCCCGAGTTTCTCAGTACCCTCAGCTGGAGAATAATTCAGCTAGTGCCTGGAGCTGCTCCCTGGAAAAGCATGACAGCTGGCAAAGCAGTCTTCTTTGTGCACTATTCACTCGTGCAAGAACACTTCTTTACACAGGCACAGGGAGACTAGATGTGGGGCACTGATTAAGCAAGATTTCTGACCCTGTCCCGATGCCTAAAATTTTTAGCTGGAAAGATTTTAGTGATCATCTGGTTAATGATCAAGTTGAGACCAAAGAGTTTGTCTTGCGTCTTGCCTGATGTCGCTAAGCTGGCACAGGTAGGATCTATAATATCAACAATACACTCAGAAGGAGCAATAGCTCCCACTTACTGAGTGGCTGCTGTGCCAGAAACTGCTACAATCTTTTCAGGCATGTCCTTGAATCTTCTTTACAGAATCTTCTGTAAATTTCAGGAATTGTAATGGGTTTCTCTCAATGTAAGAAATGGCGGCTCAGAGGCTTAGAGAGAAACAAGAACTCCTCTACCAAGCAGCTTCACACCCTCCTTTGGACCTCAGTGAATTCAGTGCATGCAAAGATGGTGAAGAACTCAAGCATTTGCCCATCTCTTAAAGCCACAGTGGGGTTCTGAAAGCTTGTTGCCATGACTTTACCACATCTGCCTCAAGATTACCAATTAGCAATATGGATTAAATAACTTTCCAAATTGCACTAGAATTTTTGATGCTGTTTTCAAGTTTAAAATCAAGTGCTTTCCAGTTATTTTCATTAGTTATTTCCCTGTTGTTCTCACAATGTGGGTTGTGTCCATTTTTTACATTCCTCAGTAGTAGGTGCTTGGGAAAACTCAGGAGCTTATAAATGGAAGTTTCCAAGGAGTAACCGGTTTCCAAGCAATTCTTTGCAGTCAGTTTAACTTCAGAAAGCAAGACCTGGGCCTTCTTTGGAGCCCTGGTGGTGCGGTGGTTAAGAGGTTGACTGCTAACCAAAAGATCAGCAGTTCAAATCCACCATCTGCTCCTTGGAAACCCTATGGGGCAACTCTACTGTGTCTTATAAGGTTGCTATGAGTCAGAATCAACTCAATGGCAATGGACTTGGTTTTGGGGGTCTTCTTTGCTTTTGCTCACAGCTAAGTTTTGATCCTAGTCAATAAAAATATAATCTTACCAAGCATGATGTCCTTCTCCAGGGACTGGTCATTCATGCTTAGAGAACAAAAACACACTGTTAGGATACATAACACAATAGTAACAGTGGTGGAATTATGGGTATTTAAGTTTTCTTTATGCTTTGGATATTTGCCAAATTTTCTGTGATGAAGATGGATTTTTAAAAATTTTATTGTTTTAGGTGAAAGTCCACAGCAGAAATTAGTTTCTTATTCAAAAATTTATACACAAATTGTTTTGTGACATTGGTTGCAATCCCCGAAATGTGTCAGCACTCTCCCACTCTGCCTTTCCACCCCGGGCTTTTCATATCCATTCGTCCTGTTTTCCTGTCCCTTCCTGCCTTCTTGTTTTTATTTTTGGGTAAGTGTTGCCCATTTGGTCTCCTGTACTTGACTGAACTGAGAAACATGGTCCTCACGTGTGTTATTATTTGTTTTATAGGCCTATCTAATCTTTGGCTGAAAGGTGGACTTCAGGAGTGGCTTCCATTCTGAGTTAGCAGGGTGTCTGGGGACCGCAGCCTTGGGTGCTCCTCCACTCTCTGTCAGACCAGTAAGTCTGGTCTTTTTTTGTGAATTTGAATTTTGTTCTACATTTTTATCCCACTCTGTCTAGGACCCTCTTTTGTGATTCCTGTCAGAACAGTCCGTGGTGGTAGCCAGGTACCATCGAGTTCTTTTGAGCTCAGGCTGGTGGAGGCTGTGGTTCATGTCATCCATTAGTCCTCTGGAATAATATTTTCCTTGTGTCTGGTTTTCTTCATTCTCCTTTGGTCCGGATGGGATGAGACCGATCGATGTGTCTTAGATGGCCGCTCACAAGCTTTTCGGATCACAGACACTACTCACCAAGGTAGGATGTTGAACATTTTCTTTATGAACTGTGTTATACCAATTGATCTAGATGTCCCCCGAGTCTATGGTCCCCAGCCCTCAGCCCCAGTAACTCGGTCCCTCAAGGTGTTTGGATTTGTCTAGGAAACTTCTATGGCTTTGCCTTGGCCAAGTTGTGCTGACTTCCCCTATATTGTGTGTCTTTAACACTTGTCTACTATCTAGTTAGTGATTTCCCCTCCCCACCTCTCCTCTCCCTCATAACCATCTAAGATTGTTTTTTTCTGTGTGTAAACCTTTTCTTGAGTTTTTATAATAGTGGTCTCATACAATATTTGTCCTTTTGTGATTGATTTATTTCATTCAGCATAATGCCCTCCAGATTTAACCATGTTGTGAGATGTTTTGCAGATTCATCATTGTTCTTTATCACTGCATAGTATTCCATTGTGTGTATGTACAGTAACTTGTTTATCCATTCATCTGTTGATGGACAGTTAGGTTGCTTCCATCTTTTTCCTATTGTGAATAATGTTGCAGTGAATACGGGTATGCATATGTCTATTTGCATGACGGCTCTTATTTCTCTAGGATGTATTTCTAGGAGTGGGATTACTGGATCATATGGTATTTGTATTTCTAGTTTTTTAAGTAGTCTCCATATCATTTTCCATAGTGGTTGTACCCACCAGCAGTGCATAAGAAATCCAATCTCCCCGCGACCTCTCCAACATTTGTTATTTTCTGTTTTTTTGATTCATGCCAGTAATGTCAGGGTGAGATGGTATCTCATTGTGGTTTTGATTTGCATTTCTCTAATGACTAATGATTTCAAGCATTTCCTCATATATCTGCTAGCTACCTGAATATCTTCTTTGGTGAAGTGTGTGTTCACATCCTTTGCCCATTTTTTAATTGGATTATTTGTCATTTTGTTATTGAGATGTTGAAATATTCTACAGATTTTGAGAGATTAGACCCTTGTTAGATATGTGGTAGCCAAAATTTCTTTCCCAGTTTGTAGTTTCTCTTTTTAATCTTTGGTGAAGTCTTTTGATGAGTCTTCCAAATTTCTTGGCATAGACGAGTGAACATCTCCAGCATTGCATTCGTTTGTCGAAGCATCTCAGTTGGCATTCTGTCAATTCCTGGAGCCATGTTTTTTTTGCCAATGCCTACAGTGCAGCTTGGACTGCTTCCTTCAGTATCATGAGTTCTTGATCATATGCTACCTCCTGAAATGGTTGAATGTCAACCAATTCTTTTTGGTACAGTGACTCTGTGTATTCCTTCAATCTTTTTTTGATGCTTCCTGCATCATTCAATATGCTTCAGTATTACAAATTGAGGCTTGAATTTTTTCTTCATTTCTTTCAGCTTGCGAAATGCCCTGTGTGTTCTTCCCTTTTGGTTTTCTAACTGCAGGTCTTTGCACATTTCATTATAATACTTTCCTTTGTCTTATCAAGCCACCCTTTGATGTGCCATCACCATAGCCATGACTTTAATGACTTAACTAGGAATTTAAAAAATGCACTTACTGTAACAGTGGTGCTGGTCTGAACTCTCATCTATAAATAAAGGAAAAGAATTATGAAACCTAGTTTGCACTGCAACTAAACACAAGAACAAAAATTCTAAAACAATACACTATCTCCTTGATTTACTTTCACTTGACATTTCTACCTTCCTTGAGTATCCTCCTTGTTTCTCCCTCCCTAGAAAAACCTAGTTCTGTAGAATAATGCACTGTTTGTTTTGGCAAGGCTTATACTTCCATGGTTTGTCTTTAAGCATTATGACTGTGTTTTTAGTCTTACTTACTGTTTACAAATCATTTTGTTCCTTGTATTTGCAAACTACCTCACATTCTTTAGTTATTCAGAACAACATTTGATACTAAAGGATGGAAATACAAAATAATAATAACAGTGGCAAAAGCATTGTATCCAGTAGATTTCCTTTTTCATTCAATAAGTATCTATTTTGCAAATATTATGTCCTGAGTACTCTGCTAGGTGAGAATCACAGATTTGTTCCTCACAGAGAGCTGGTATGTATATGAGCTCTTATGACCTTGAGGCATGATAGTTGCTCCCAAGGTAAAGGCAAGTAGTTTAAGTAGATCAATGACGCAGTTTCTTCTGCATGCTCAAGTGGTCTTGGGAAATGTCTGGGAGACAGCTGCCCAGATGGAATGGATTCTGTGAAAAGGAGACAAAGTCGATCAGGGAGATCTCTATAACTGTTAGTGATGGCCACCCACAGACTTTCTTTCATCTGAAGAATTCAAAAAGGCTTTTCCCACCAAGGACTTATTTCTAGATGGGAAAAGTAAAATGCTATGAGGAAACTTGTGAGCAGCAGAGAAGAACACCCGTGGTTTCCTGGTCTTTCGGCCTCCATCTTTAGTGGAAGTCACATGTTTAAAGTCCTCTTACCTTCTCTAAAATTTCATAGTCCTTATAGATAGCTTCTGAATTTTTAAAATCTAACCTTTGAAGCAGGAATTTTTATTAAAGACATTTACAGCTTATATCACCCAGAGTTCCAAAGACACCATGAAAATCCCTAACTGTATTTATTCTGTTTCAGATAGAGCCTAAATTATGGATTAACCCATTATAAGGTATTTTTAGTGACCAATGGCTAATTTTTAATAAATTATTCCTGTGGCCTAACCTTCTAAATTACTTTTCTCCCAGAATGTGTCATCCTGTTTGTAACGCATACAATATTCAAAATTACTTTTATTCCTGTGTCTCAAATCTTAAAGTAATCAATTTTTTAAACTAATCTTTTCTCTCCAATTACATTATCTTAGAAGAAACACATGTGTGTCTGTGTGCTTGTGAGTATACATGTGTGTACCTGTGAGTAAGAGTCAGTGAGTGAGTGTATGTGTGAAGTGTCTCTGGAAATATGGTAATGCCACCTCACTTATTTCACACTATCTTGAACTATTTCAGTTGTGAAGATCCTTATTTTTCTTCTCACATTATTCTTTAGATACCACCTTAGTTGTGTTTTATAGGAAATAAGATAAAAAATGAGAAGGAGGGAAATAATGCACCAAGAGAAAAAGAGACTGAGAAAGTTTTCATACTTAAATGAGGTAAACTCATTTTTGTGTTTACAGCATTTGTTGATAATAATAGCTATTGCCAGCATTTACTGAGTGCCTTCAATGATGCTAAGCATTTAATGTGTATTAACTCATTTTAAAAGCACGTCTTCCTTGTGAAGGAAGTTCTGTGTTTCTGGATGAGGAACTAGGGCATAGAGATGTTAAGTAGCATGCACAGCTGATAAGTATTGGGACTAGGCTGGGAGCCAGGTTCCCCACCACTCTCTGAATCTCTCACTATGCCACCTCCAGAGCACTGCTGGCCCTCTCCCCTCACAGAATCTGGCTGCCTGTGACTTCAACTTCTGAAAGACTCCCTGAGCTGTAGATCACTAAAGGGATGAAAATTATTGTTGAGATTTTCATCAAGTGACGAATATTTCAAATATGTTTTTATTTGTATGAAGCTTATCACTAGTTGGTAATGAACTAATAACTGGATTTTTAAAAAATTTATTTAACACCAAACATTCATCTTTTATTTTCATAGTGAAATCATGCTTTCCATTAACATCTCTTTTATTTAAAAAATGGAAGTTCGAAACTTATAAATTTAGAAAAAAAGGGACATTAAGAATAGCAATGCCTTACATTTCTATAGGGATTTATTGCTGATAAAGTACTTCCACATTTATTATCTCATTTGACCTTCACTACAATCCTCTGAGAGAAAGAGGCCTGGTCCTATTGTCCTCATTTTACAGATGTGAAAAAAGAGGTATGAAAAGATATAAGTGGCTCATTAAGTTCCCTCTTTAAAGTCATAGTTAGTAAAATGGAGGGATTAGAATTTGAGCCTTTTTTTTTAAACTACAAGTCCAAGGTTTTTGATGAGCCCTAATTATTTAGGATGATGACACAATCATTTTGTTTGTGAGTCTTTGTGATTTTATCTGAGAAATTATCCCGTATCATCCTATAATTGTGTTGATGCCACAGGGCTCAATATGACATCCTGAGGGAGAATGCCAAATGCAGTTCCTGACATCTCAAAAACTGCTGCAGGGGTCAGCAATCTCCTCTTATATGTGATACTGGGTTTTCTTTTTTGGAATGACTCTGACATCTGCTTCGTGCTGCACTTGATGTATACCATAATGCATAGCCAAAACAAAAGAGAGGGAAGAAGGAAGGAAAAGAAGAAAGGAAGGAAGGAGGGAGGGAGGAAAAGAGGAAGGAAGGAAAGGGAGAGAGGAAGGAAGGAAAGAAGGAAAGGAGGAAGAGAGGAATGAAGGAAGGGAAGACTCCAAGCTTTTGAATTACCTGGCTATTAAAGACTGTTATCAGTCCTTTTTGAGATGCTGCTATTAGTAAATCCAGTTGAGGAATCTTGACAATGGACTTAATCACATCCCGTCTTCTACTACCTGTCAATGGCATAATACTTATTTCAACTTCCAGCAGTAAAGACCCTAAAGCTCATTTGTTAGATTTGTTTAAAAAGAAAAGAAAAAGATAACAGCCAACTTTTTGCTAGAAAGCCCTGAATTACTTAAAAAGTAAAGTGGAATACAACCATAAAAAACAGCAACCATTGAATTTTAATTAGTACCAGAGACACTAATCTGAATATATAGTTTTCCAACTAACTGCTGTGCATGAATTCCCAGGTAAGACACACATACACACACACGCACACACATGCACACACCTGCACATTTCACAGAGAATGAGTTTTTTGTACATCTTTTGGAATCATTCCTATTTTGAGAGGGTCCATATCTCCTAGGGATCCTTTCTTTGAACTGTTACCATTACGGTTTACACAGAATCAAAATCTAATACTACGTCAGACTTTCCAGTATAAAAGAAAGTACTCTAATACTCCTGTTAAGGATCTTAAAAACAAAACAAAACAAAAACCACTAGACACTTTATTTTGATAGCACTTACTACCATCTGACACAGTATACATTTTACTTGTTTGATTTTTTTTAATTGTCTGTCTCTCCCCATTAGAATGTAAACTCCATGCGATCGGGGATTTTTGCTTGTTTTGTTCAACTGCTGCGTCCTCAGCACTTAGAACAGCGGTTGACTCACTTAGTAAACCAAAAACCAAACCAGTGGCCATCTAGTCCATTCCAACTCATGGCGACCCCGTGTGTTACAGAGTAGAACTGCTCTGTAGGGTTTTCTTGGCTATAATCTTTATGGAAGCAGATCACCAGACCTTTCGTCTGTGGTGCTGCTGGGTGGGTTTGAATGAGTAACCTTTCAGTTAATAGCTGAGAGCAAACTGTTTGTGCCACCCAGGGACCTTGGTCCACATAGTAAACCTTAATAAATATTTGTTGAATAAATGAACTATACAGCTCAATTGCCATCTAGCAAAATGCTTTCAAAGTATTAATTCAGGATGCTAGCAACACTTCTCCCCTGCTCGCCAGCCAGCCTCCTCAGCTAAGTGTGTGGTGGCAGCAAGGACACCCCCCTTGTTTCTGTGTTTTGATGATAGTTGCCATGGCCAGAGGTGGGGCTCTGGTGAAGCCAATGGCTGTGCTAAGGAACAGTGAGGGCAAGGGAGGCTTACTTCACAAAGGACTGAAGTAAATTCAGGAGCTTTTTTAAGGAACACCAGATTCAAATCTGACTACACACTTCATCTCAGAATATGTGATGAAGAGCTGGAAGACAGAAGCAGATTCAAAAGTTTGCCTTTCCTCTTCCTGTCCTTCTCCCTCCCTGGAGGGAAGAAAGGAAAGAAAACCCAAAGTGTCAATAGCAATAGTGGAAAGGAATAAGAAGGAATCCCTGGGTCCCAAGCACCACTTTAAAAATAAATGACACATATAAACTAGGGGCATCCTAAACTGAGGCAACATCCCTGTTAAACCTCCCTAAGATAATCGAGGAGGCCTGGTGGCCAAGTGGTTGAGAGCTCGGCTGCTAACCAAAATGTCAGCAGTCCGGATCCACAAGCTGCTCCTTGGAAACCCTATGGGGCAGTTCTACTCTGTCCTATTGAGTCACTATGAGTTGGAATTTTGTTGGAGGAGCCCTAATTAGTGCAAACTTGAAAACTTAATTTTAAAACATTTTTAAAGAAACATGATTCCGTTTGGTACTGGAGCATGTATTGCTGTGGTGCCATTGTAGAGAGCCTTGACTTGAGGTTTCAGCCTCTTCAGGAAAATGTGAAAAATGGTTCCCCTCACAGGGGAACACTATTTAGTGTCTTTCAGAGCAATGATAACATCTTAATCTCGACTGCAGGTACAGTTTCTTCTGATATTGCATATGAAGCTATCACAGTTATAAAGTATCGAGCAAGTAAATACAGTGAACCACACTTCTATAGAAATGTTACATTCCCATTACTTATTTTGAGGAAATATCAAAACATATATACTAATTTGGAAGGTAAATTTAAAATATCACCTGAAATTACAACTCGCTGTTTTCTAGAAACAAGGAAAATCAAATTCTCTTCATCCATCTCGGAAGCAAGCACATCTTCCTCTGAGCAGAAGTATCCAAAGATCTAAAATCCCAAAAGCATAGATAAATATGCACGACAGCTTAGAATTGGCTGTAAAGTAACTTAGATGATGTTGGCTACATTTCAAACCTAATTTGGATTAGTAGCATTGCTTTAAAAACGTCAGCTGGTTCCCTACACCAAGGGGAGGCAGTTTAATATATTCGACAAATTGTATGCTGAGGAGGTTTTATTATGGAGCCAAATCCAAAACAAAACCTGTTGCCATACAGTTGATTGCGACTCATGGCGACCAGATGTATGTAGAGTAGAACTGTTCCATGCGGTTTTCTAGCTTTTCCAGAAGCAGATCGCTAGGCTTCTGGGTTAGTAGTTGATGTTTAACCTTTTGGTTAGTAGTCGATTTGACCATTTGTGCCACCCAGGAACTCCATTACTGAGCAGGCACTATTTTTTTCTCCCAATAGATGAACCCATGTACCAGGATGGTGATGGTGTCCTTGCTCAGACTAATAGGTCTATTAGGAGCTGGCACTTACCTGGAAATCAAATCAACCTTCAGGGCTTCTGCCAGGAACCTTGACATTGAATTTGACCATTCTCAAATTGCTAGTCATATCATTTTCCATTAAGTCTTTCTGGGCCAGACTTTTGCCCCTTTTGTGGGGGAGTTTGGAATTTAAGAGACTGTATAGTTTCTTTATTTAACTTTCCAAATCCTCCTCTCTAGACATTGCACGAGAATAAATTACTGTGAAAGAATAGCTTGAAAAAGAAAAATACTTTTTATTTGAGAATAAATTGACAAATTATATAACTCTGAAGACTTTGGAAAATAAGAAAGCTGTTCTTCAATTGTCTTATAATAAGCAAAAATACAGTTCTTAGAAATTAATGGCAATTATCAGTATTTCTCTTGTTGGAGAATTGAGACTAGTTGATGTTAATGAAGGAATGAACTAGTGGAGAGCTTCTGAAGCATTAATATGCATACAAGCCACCTGAGAATCATATTAAAGTGCAGATTTTGATTCCATAGATTTGAGGTGGGGTCTGAGAGTCTGCATTTCTAATACTGCCCCTGTTGCTCCTCTGACCACCCGTTGAGTATAAAGGAGCTAGGGACCCAATGACTCATATGAAAGTAAATCAAAACCAGCTACATATCAATTTGTCCTAATAGCATTTTGTTTATTTTCATGCTATGTGATGGCTTAGCATTTCTCCTTTAATCAGTTCCTTCACAAATGTTACTTCTCCTTTACTCACCCTCACATCAAAACCCCACAACATATCATGATTCCAAACTAAACTCGTTGCCATCAAGTCAATTCTGACTCATAGCGACCCTATAGGACAGAGTAGAACTGACCTATAAGGTTTCCAGGGTGGTAAATCTTTAGGGAAACAGACTGCCACATCTTTCTCCCATGGAGCAGCTGGTGGGTTCGAACCTGAGACCTTTAGGTTAGCAGCCGAGTGCTTAACCACTGAACCACCAGGGCTGCTGGCTCTGCTATACGATGATTATCCAATCATTTCCTACTGTTATATTTATGCTGTGGGAAGATCAGGATCATCAAGACTTTCTCTCTTATATTTCCCCTTCTTCCTTCCACCAGTAAAATCAGCACTAACAGCTTATTATCTTTTCAGAAATCATCGCTCATTTTTCCTGGGCACAAAATTGAGTAAAACCTCTGGATTTAATATCTAATTTCCTCTGAAGGATTGAGAAAAGAGAAAGAAAAGTATCTTTAATAGATACATGTGTAGTGGACAGGAATCTTTTGTCACTGCAATTTCCTCTTCGTCCCTCATTGATACATGATCCAGTTAAAAGTGATATATTGATCTGCGCCTTAAAACCAAAAAAACAACCATTGCCGTTGAGTAGATTCCGACTCCTAGGGACCCCACAGTAGCCCCTTATGGCAAAGAGTATGTGCTGTGGAGTCAGACAGGCCAGGGTTTGAGTTCAGGCTCTACAACCAATTGGTACTCAGACTCCTTAAATCCCAACTTCTTCATCGGTGAAATCAGTTGAGTAGGACAAACTTCTGAGTTTTTCTCCCGATGAGGTTTAAATGAGATAATGCATGTAAAGCATTTTTCATTGTACCAAGCACACATATGTGCCTGACATATGTCAAAAAATGTTAGCTATTATTATCAATAGAAAGCTTAGATTAAGAAAGGTTCGTGGAAGGAGGAAAAAAATCATAAATTATATCAAGGCAACAACCACTAATGAGGAAATGAGGCTCTTTTTAGGGGTGGTACTTTAAAACCTTTAGTCACACTTGGAGATGTAACTGGTTTTTCCGGTAAGAAAGACTAATAAGGTGGACACTGTGATAAGTTGATGGTATATGGAACCTAACAGGGAAGGATTCATATGACCCTTACAGCAAACCAGAACTGAAATGGAAATTCCCTCTCTTGCACCTTGTACTCCATCAGTTCCCTGCTGCCTTTACTTCCTTTCTTATCCAGTTCACAGTCTATGGTCTGTCAGTTCACCTCAATTACACATTTCCACAATTCCTATTCAATTACACCATTGCCCTTCCAGGCGTTGGCCTGGCAAGAAACCCCACTGCTGGATGAATCTAATTGCCAGTGTTCCTTGCACCCACGCTACTGTGGCTGACCGGATGGGACCACTAATCACTTATGAGATTTAGCCTCCTGGGACTTCAATGCCACCTGGCCTCATTCCATCCTTCCCTCAATGAGTCTCTTTCATTGTCTTCAGGAACAATTTCAAATCTCCTCCATGCTCACCAAACATGTGACTCCACCTCCTTATCACTCTTAGCAGATGAGGACCGCCCCTCCTACTTCACAGGAAAATGGAAGCCACCAGACAAGAACTTCCTCAGCTTCTTGCCACTCTACTTATAAACCAACCTGTTCTGGGAATCATTCTTTCTTCCTTCCTTCTCATTTGAAGGAAGATGTGTTCTTTCTTCCCAAGGCCAAACCCTCCACCTGTTCTCTGTATCCCATCCCCTTCTGCCTCTTCAGAGTTTATTTCCTCTTTCCCCAGTATCTTCAATCTCTCCTTTCTACTTCAGCATTCAGACATATTCAAATCTCTCCCATCTTAAAAAAAAAAAGAAATACAACAAATAAACCAGCCCTCCAAAGTCAATTATAGGTAATAACCTTTAGTCTCTTTCTTGCATTTCTCTTCTCTTCTTCAGGTTTCCTCTCCAATTGTTGTCCCTCCTTACATTACTGCTGTGTTTGGATTCCTCTTATAACTACTTTTTGTTATCTACTAGTTGTAATAGCAGACACACTTTTTTTGAACTTTGGCATTTTCCCCTCTATATTAGTTTTCTGGGTGGTGCAAATGGTTAACAGGCTTGGCCCATAACTGGAAGACTGGAGGTTCAAGTCCACACGAGGGCCATTCATAAAAAAGGCCTGGCAATCTACTTCTGAAAAATCACCATTGAGAACCTTATGGAGCACAGTTCAACTCTTACACGCGCGGCGTTGCCACGAGTCAGAATCAACTCCATGGCAACTGGTTTTATTAGTTTTCTATTGCTTCCAAAACAAATGATCACAAACATAATGATTTAAAACATTACCCACTTATTAGCTCACAGTTCTGTAGGCTGAAAGTCCAACATGGGTCTCACTGGGTTAAAATCAAGGTGTTGGTAGAGATGTGTTCCTTAATGGAGACTGTAGAAATAAATCTACATCCAAGCTTATTTAGATTGTTGGCCTGAGGTCCCTCTTGCCTTGCTGGCTAACAGCTGGGGGCCACCTTTAGTTCCCAGAGGCCTCTCTTCAGTCCTAGTACATGGGCTTCTACATCACAGAGCCAGCAATGGAGTTACAAATCCTTTTCAAGCTTAGAATCTCTGTTCTGCCTTCCTTTTTTATTTTTAAGGGCTAATGTGGTTACATTGGGCCCATCCAGACAACTCAGGATAATCTCCCTATTTTAAGATCAGCTGATTAGTAACCTTAATTACATCTGCAAAGTCCTTCACAACAGTACCTAAATTAGTACTTGAATAGCCAGAGGATGGGCATCTTGGGAGGGGCGTGTTAAGAATTCTGCTTACCACACCCTCATTTTATAAACACAATTCAGTACAACCTAAATTACCTTGTACAAAATACAACAACAACAAAAAAGATTAAGTATTAGTAATCAGTTTAACCTCAGATACTATCAAGAAATAATTTTTAGATAATAATGTGAAATGACAACAGGAATGATGATTATTTCTATGCTAATGAATTCCAATGTTTTTCAGGGGTAGGAGAACTCCACACCATGTATGCTGTCATCTGATTTAATGCCCTATATTCTATGACACCTTTAGTCGAAGAGCAATTTACGGTCATTTAACTTGGTTTGTAATTTGGATAAATTTTGGTGGCAATAGTGACAATGTATCTGTTAAGCATCTAGGAACAGATGTGGGAAGAACCTGAGGAGCAGTGTCATCTGTGAGGCAGTGTGGGGTGCTTTAGAACCTGGGTGTGGGTTCAGATCCTGGTTCTATTGCTCACTAGTCACATGACCTCAGGCAAGTTCCTTAGTGTCTCTATGTCTGTTTTCCTCATCTGTAAAATAAGGATACTCACTAATAACCCCTCTCTCATGCCTTATTGTAAGGATTACATGAGGAAATGAATGTAAAGTACTTAGACTGCACCAAGTGCCAGATAGGAGCTCCGTAAATGTCAACATTTGAGTAATTATTATTTCCAGTTGCGTGACTGGCAGTACAGGAAACAGGTGTCCTCCTAGCTAGTTCAAAACTGTCCCCTGGGTGCCTTTCCTGCCTGCCCAGACAATCCATGTACTTTATTATGAAATGTCCCATACAGTCCCATCTACACGTCACTACGCATCATCATGTAGGATATCTGCTCTTATGGAAATGATAGCTTTTGCTACTTTTACATGTAAATAACACAATGCTTACCATACATAACTTCCAAATGATAGTAAAAACATCAAAATACTAAAATTTCTTGAGGAAAAATTTAAAAAGAGATTATAC